CACACTAACCCCCCCCCTGGCCAGTGCAAAGGGCCAAAGAGTTCGGAGGTGGGAGGGGGCTCCAGGCTTAGCCCAGGATGGGGGATTGGGGTCCAGGAGGAGTTTCAAGGTGCAAGCTCTGGGAAGGAGTTGGGATGCAGGGGGACTCACGTCTGGGGCAGGAGGTTGGATGTAGGAGGAGGTTCAGGGTTGGGACAGGGATTCAGGAAGCAGGCTCTGGCTAGGCACCATTCAACTGAGATGGGGAGGTGGGAGGGGGCTCCAGGCTTAGCCCAGGATGGGGGATTGGGGTCCAGGAGGAGTTTCAAGGTGCAAGCTCTGGGAAGGAGTTGGGATGCAGGGGGACTCACGTCTGGGGCAGGAGGTTGGATGTAGGAGGAGGTTCAGGGTTGGGACAGGGATTCAGGAAGCAGGCTCTGGCTAGGCACCATTCAACTGAGATGGCTTCCGTGTGGTGGAGCAGTTGGGTTAAGGTAGCTTACTTCTGCCCTGGCCCGGCACCACTCCTGAAAGCAGCTGGCATGTACAGCAATGGCTCCATGGCACCATATGCTGCCCCTCATCTACAAGCACTGAGCCCACAGCTTCTACTGGCCACGGTTCCCTGTTATTGATCAATGGGAGTTGCAGGCGCGGTGTCTGCAGACAAGAACAGCATGTGGAGACCCCCGCTCTGCCTTTCTCAGGGGCTGCAAGGACATGCCAGCCACTTCCAGGAGCAGCAATTACCAAAGGGATAATTAGTCCAGTACAGGTTTGGCATTTTAGAACTCGCTACCCAAAGAATTACATTTACGTGTAAGAGAGAAATGAAAATTATGAAATGCACAGACCAGTCAAAAAACAAAAATAGTACAATTTGCAAGCAGTAAAAGTAGTAACAACAACAGCCCACATGTGTGTTGGGTCAGGAGATGGGAGTGAAGGACAGTGTGTGTGTCTGAGAATGACAGAGACCCACACAGTTTGTGAGAGTGGCAGATATTTTCATTGCCAAGTTCCCTCCAGCCCCTTCTTCTCTTTGTGGAAATAGGGTACAGAAGTGGAGGGAGGAGGGACACCCTGACATCAGTGCCCTCCTCTTCCCCTTCCCACACCCTGCACAGCAAGCAGGAGGTTCCCAGGGGAGGCAGCTCCCAAGCAGAGGGCAGAAGCAGCATGACAGTGGGTGAAGGGGGCAACTGAAGTGACAGTACCTGGCCAATCCAGTCAGGATCACCTGTCAGAGGCTCCAAGATCTACCAGTAGATCCCAATCTACTGGTTGGTGACCACTGCATTAATGGATTTAAAAGTAGCCCTTCTTCTACAAAGAAATTTCACAAGCCAATTACAGAGAGAGAGTGTAGAATTGACCTTCATATGCAAATTTGACACTATTTCCCTGGGCTTGAACAAAGACATTAACTGGATGTGGCATTATAAAGTCAGCTTTCCCTGTATTTAGCACCTCATTTACATGAAAAGCTAAGTATGGGACACTTCCAGCCCATTCAATTAGCTTCATTAGCACCAGTACTACAGTTGTCAGGTACCTTTTTTTCCCCCCCTTCCCTTCATTTTCTGTTATAAATTCTGGGTTCTCATTACAGGCAGTCCCCGGGTTACATACAAGATAGGGACTGTAGGTTTGTTCTTAAGTTGAATCTGTATGTAAGTCGGAACTGGCAAGTATGGGACACTTCCAGCCCATTCAATTAGCTTCATTAGCACCAGTACTACAGTTGTCAGGTACCTTTTTTTCCCCCCCTTCCCTTCATTTTCTGTTATAAATTCTGGGTTCTCATTACAGGCAGTCCCCGGGTTACATACAAGATAGGGACTGTAGGTTTGTTCTTAAGTTGAATCTGTATGTAAGTCGGAACTGGCGTCCAGATTCA